CAAATATTTATATTTACACAATAAAGCGCTTTTTGAATTTGAATTTGAATGTAAAATATTCGAAAAATTTCTGGAACGTCTAATTTATCAGGTCCCGTTCAGAAGGCTACTCAGCTATAGTTGTTGTTTTTGAGCCAATATCTCTAGACTGATCATTTGTTTGCTAGGATATTCGCCCAGTCAGGGTTAGAAAATGTTAGTAGATTCAACAAAGCCCTAATGCATGCTCTGAATACCAAAAATTAAAACCCCAACACAAAAGACACCACATAATTTCTTAGGTTTCAATTTCATTTTTTATCTGTGTTGTTCATAGCATCCAACGATTTTTTTTAAATACATGAACAATGCACATTGTTGTAAAATAAAGTATAAACAAACAAAAAAACTCTCAAAACAAAATAACATTTATTCAACTGAGCTGTGAATGCTCCTTATGACACACAAACTAATCACAAACTTGATTGAACAATCAAGTTTAATGCAAAATAAACATTGAATAATGGACAATGGCGGACAAGCAGCTTCTTCCCTGGTTTCTCATTTTCTGTGTCTACCCTTCGCTTTCGTACGCTTTTTGTGTGACACGCCTCGTTCGCCCTTACTTGACAGCGCATACATGGTTGCAACATTTACAATTTTTCCATAGTAAACGTTTCAAAAAGTCAAGATAATAAAGCCTGTTTTTTTTTTAAAGATAAAAGTCAAAATGACATTATGTTGGCAATACAATGTAAAATTGTCAATGCTTTCAAATTTTTTATATAGAAAAGGCTTGTATTGTCAACATAGTTACTAAATTTTTGACTTGGGGAATTATCTTTAAAAAAAAACAGACTTTAATAATATTTCAAATAGGTGGAAATTCCACCATTGAATCGGGCATTCTCAAACACCCCCAGGTAGGAAATATGGTACATTGTTCTTAAGGATGTTCAGAAATATTAGGCCGTTTCCATACATACTGACAACCCTGTATATGAAAGCATTAAGATGTAAAATCATTTACCAAGGAATTTGACATCCATCCCCTCCCCGAGACATTTTAGGAGGCAAGTTAAAGGGGTGTGACCCAAAAATGAAAGTGAAAAAAAATCTAAGAATAAATATTTAATCCGCATCTTGCTTTGATGAACCGTTTTCGAGTTACGGAGGTTTAAAGTGACAAACGCCTAGGCTGTGAGATCACATTATTATTAACACGTGTAAAATTTTCCAAAACAAAAGTCAACGATCTCACTTAGAGCGAATTCCATCCACTCAAAGTATAGGGCACGATTCACTGATGACTGAATAAACAGAGGGCTGCGATTTCGGCGGTTAGCCGGTGTGACGTCACAAGTTCTTGCTTAACTTATCTTCATAAGGGATTTTCTCAGAAACTATTTTGAATATAGGACTGCGGTTGTCACGAGAGCTCTTAGATTTTTTTTGCTTGATTTAAGTAGCTTAAGTTGCTTTTTTAGGTCACACCCCTTTTGAGGTTGCTGGTTGGTGCGGCTTATTATAATTTGAATGAATTTTATTGTGATGGTTTCAGTTTAGGATTTTGTACTCGTTTTAACATTGCACATGTGTATGTTCTCGTATATGGGGATCAAATTCGAAGTTTTTGTTCAAGGTCAAAAGACGCCGGTGTCGCCAGGGGCGTGCGGTGAAAAAAACCCGAAGCGTGTCGCAGTGCTTACCTACACCTTACCAGCAAGCAGCAGCGCGCGACAAGGGTTATATCGTTATCGGGGCGGTCAAACTTGAAAAAAAAAATGTATGGGGATTATGGGATAATGGGTTCTATTGGATAGGGATATCAATAAAATAATAGATATTCACGATACAAGTGAGTTAACAGCATACTTAAGATACGCGTGTGGAAGTTACCCAACGAGTGTGTAGCACGAGTTGTGTATCTCACGTAGATAAATATACAGGGAAAACAGTTCACCCTGATTTTCTCGATTTGAAATGAAAATCTGGAAAAACGCTCGAACACGCCAATTTTTGATTTGAGGGGGAAATATTTTTCAGTTTTTTCCATCCCCGTAGCTAGGGGGAGAACAACCCCCCAAATTTGAATAGGGGATAGGGGTCGTGTCATACCTATTTTTAAAGGTCTCATCGAGTTCTTTATGATCATAGAATTTCGTCTCAATATTTTTATCCGCAACAAAATGACAGCTTGTCAAAATCTTGGAAATGGACTATAGTTTTAGTAGGAGTAAAAGCGGTACTTACCTTCCTTACTAAAAATACTTACAATTTACAATTCACGTGTACACCTAATTAATAATAATGATAAAAAACTGCAATTTCAAGTATTTTTATTGAGGAAGGTAAGTATTGCTTTTAGTCCCACTAAAACAATAGTCTATTTCTAAGATTTTGACAAGCAGTTACTTCGTTACTGATGAAAATAATTAGACTATGGCCATAAATAACTCGATGAGAGCTTTGAAAAGAGGTATGACAAGACCCCTATCCCCTATTTTGGGGGGTTGTTCCCGCCCCAGTTAGGGGGTTAAAGCTACGGGGATGAAAAAAACTGAAAAATAGTTCCCTCTCAAATCAAAAATCGACGTGTCCGAGCGTTTTTCCCGATGTTCATTCCAAATCCAATAAATCGGGGTGGACTGTTTTCCCTGGGACAGCTTGTATATTATGTGTTAAATGGGTTCCATATAATGATATCATTTCCAATGTCTCCGATGGTTGCAAGGATTGCGAAATCTGTAAAGCTTTTGTTTTCTGTTGGTGTCCATTGCAGATTTTATACTTAGAATTTTTTGATACACTAGGATATAATCTTTATTTGACTTTAATTTTAGGATTATTTTTAGTGCTTTATTAATGAGAACTTTACATACTTTGGACAATAAAGCTTTTTTTGAATTTGAATTTGCAAAGAGTACCACGAGGGGTGGCTCACTCCCGAAATCGCTGTACATTTTCATCCGAAATCTAGTGAAATTATTTCGAAATCCTCTGGAAATCCCGAAATCCATTCAAAATCGCGAAGAACGTAACCCTATTCGAAATCCTTATGAAATCCCGAAATCCTAACCAAAATCCTTCTGAAATCCCGAAATCTCAATAGATTTATTGAAATCCTCAGTGGTACGGTGTTGAAAGTCGAATATCTGAAATCTTTCGAATTCCCTTGAAAATTGTCGAAATCCCCTGCGATTTCCGGAAACGATGTACAAATTGTGGTGAGTGAGCCGCCCCTCGGGGTACCACTAGTATCTTTTAGCAGGGACTCAACAAAGTATTCTAGAATAAGAATAAGGAATAAAACAAAAGTAACGTTCCTTTCCTTTTTATCAAAAGGATGGGGTACCTCCAGCATCTTCACACACAATAGTGTTCTAGAATAATTCTTTGAATTGGTTTTGCATTTGGTAGGGGATTCTCGAGATTTTGGATGCGCGGAGGCCGTTCTAGAAATAATTGGTTTTGAAATCGGTAGGGAATTAAGGGTTAACAATATTAATAAACTCAATAAAAGGAAGGTTTTTATCTTGTTTTTTGAGGTAGTAGTCATGTCATTAATATTTATAATAATAATACCAATACATATTAATATCAAAAAATTCTCTGCTGTCCCTCATAAACCATAGGTTCAGTAAAGGTTAAAAAAGTAAAACCCTTCTATGTAGAAAAATTAAGAAGCACAGAAAATTGGAAACTATCAAGCTGTAACAAGTTTACTATGATTTTCTAAACTAATCTAAACTGTCTCTCAGCATGGTTTTTGTCCTGATAAAGTCAAAATTGACATAATGATTCCCTCTCTTCTTCAGTTTGTTTATTTGTTAATACAGTATCCGCCAAAATAAACAGTGCTAAACGTATAAATTATATCATTTATTGATTTGTAACATGCGTATATTTTCAAAAAATGCATCATAGCGACGCAAAAAACCTTCATAACGATTCTGCAAATCATTGAATATATTTATTAAGAGTGGTTGCTGAAGTTTTTCTGAGACTTGTTTCAAACTTCAACCTTTTTTCTTTCCAAATCTGTATGACCGGAAATAGTGCTCTACTAAGAACACTGTTTCTTAAGTTGAAAGATACATAATGATGAAGATTTTAACCTTAACTTAATGTCAACCTCATAACTAATACCAAGTAAGCGAAATATGATAAATGCAACTTGCGTGCGCAATTACTCAGAACTCTAGATTTTGGTACTGTTTATTTTGGCGGATACCGTAGTTATTTTTTATACAAGACGATAAAATGGTATTTTATCGTTGACCGGAAAAGTTAATTCACGAGCGGATTCGGGAGTGAAATAATTCTGGGAGACAATAATGGCATTTTATTGTCGAGTATATAAAGTTTTTTTCCATAGCCTAATTATGGACGCCTGTAGTATCAAAAATATTTAGAAATTATTTGAGTCGAACACTTTTGCATAAGTAGAAATTCGTTTGACAAACTTTGACAAATAAATAAAAAACAAAATATGTATTATTTTTGACAAAATAAACGTCTTTATCTATCCTTGCTGTTGAAGTATCATTAGGCTATGGTCGGAATATAACCAAACGTTAACCAAAGTAACCGATTCGGTTGACAGATGGTTACTGAAAATTCCGGTTACTTGGAGAACGCAAATATGAAATAAAAAATAATTGACAGAATTTACAGATAAAACCAACAGAACCAACATCCGATAGCCGGTATCTATTTTGACATTTGGTTAACCAGATTTCAGGAAACCAAGGTCCAAAAGTAACCACTTTTCCAGGAACCAGAATAATTTGATTACGTTCGGACCGCGAAACCACAACCCTGGTTATATTTGGACCACAGCTTTTATCTACCCTTGCGGTTAAAGTACTACTTTATCTACTATTTTTAAGTAGATTAAAGGCTACTTTACCAGAAGCTATGGAAAAAAAACAATTATGGCACTAGATATATTTTTTTTTGTTTGATTTTGTTTGTTGTCTGAAGACTATCACTCATGTATTTATTTTATATCTATGTAGGTTCCAGCCTTTGAAGGCAAAAACGGACAACTTTTGCAAGACAGCAACGCTATCGCCTTCTTTGTATCCAACGATCAATTGAAGGGCAAGGATGATTACGAAAAAGCTCAAATTTTGCAATGGATCGGATTCGCCGAAGGTGAAGTTTTACCAGCAAGCTGCGCGTGGGTTTTCCCTATCCTGGGAATTATCAAAAACAGCCCCAGTTCACAAGAGGTAGGGATTTGTTTGAATTGGGAATAAATGTCTAGTTATTATGCATTTTTATAAGCCTATAATGTCAGAATTCAACAAATTTATATAATGGAGGTATTCTTTGTTCTTTTGAAAATAGTTATCCTCGATGGTATACTTATGATTCTGAAAAGCATTTAGTTTCACAATTGACTTTACATACTACCTGCTTCATCTAAAAATAGATCCATGATTTTGTTAAACTTACTCCATTATAGTTTATGCAAAAAAAAAATTTAATTCTGACTTATAAGGCAGAAGACCCAACCTCTCTCAAAGGCAATATTTGTAAATTCTATTTCAAATTATTGTAACAAAAGGAGGAATAGTAAAATTGACAAAAACTTTATAGAAAAACAACTGTTCATTTACTGCTTTTTTATTATTTTGTCAAACATTTTTTTCTAAGGCATAAGATTTTATATGACCCATGAACCATTTCTCAGGCTTTCCAAAGGGCTAAAAACGATGTACGCAACGCCCTCACAATTCTCAACAACCACCTATTAACCAGAACTTACTTGGTTGGAGAACGTATTTCTTTAGCCGATATTGTTGTGGCTAGCAACCTACTTAACCCATACAAGTACGTTTTGGATCCAGAATACAGAAAAGCCTTTGGAAATGTCAACAGATGGTTCACCACCCTTATCAATCAGCCACAATTCAAAGCAGTTCTTGGGGATGTTGTTCTGTGCGACAAACCCGCTCAAGTTGGCGCTGTTCACGCTTCAGGTGATGCTGGTAAGGATTGTTAGTTATTATTATACTGTTGATATTGTAAAATTTATTTTGTATGCTCTCTATAACTGGTTTGTTTAAATTTTGATTACAAGCTGCTCAGTGTAAAAATAAATCGAATATTATTCATAAGGAGAATAAGCATAAGGAAAATAAAGAAAAGCAAAAACGAGAAATAAGTAATGAGAGTTCAGAAAAAGATAAATCTGAAGTACCTTTTGAAAAACCTAGCAAGAAGAAAGGTGAGGTGTTTTGTAGACCATTAGTTTAACTCACTGTAGTTAATATTATGAACTGAAATGACCATGAAATTCTAAACAACAGGCTCACTTTAGTTAAGAATTGTGGACCTTTCCAGTTACATAGTAGCAAGTTCACTAACATAATTAAGGATTATTGCACAAATATATTTAAATTCTTGTTATTAATTTTCTGTTCTATATAGGAAAGAAGAAGAAGGAAGAAAAAAAACAAGAAACAAAACAAGAAAAACCTAAAAAAGAAGCCGCCAAAAAAGAAAAAGAACCTGAAGAAGAACTAGATGCAGCTGAAGCACTTCTCCTTGCTGAACCCAAAACTAAGGATCCATTTGATTCTATGCCAAAAGGGTAAGTCAACAAAAAAAAAGGAAATATGGAAAACTTATCCACTTTTAATTCAACAGAACTTTTGTGATTGACGATTTCAAACGTTTTTACTCCAATGAAGACGAATCCAAGTCTATCCCTTATTTCTGGGAAAAATTCGATCCTGAAAATTACTCAATTTGGTACGGAGAATACAAATACCCTGAAGAATTATCCAAAGTTTTTATGAGCTGTAATCTTATCACAGGTAATTTTTGCCTCATTTCAATTTTTATTTCAAATAATTACTCCTATCTCTCAGGCATGTTCCAACGTTTGGACAAAATGCGTAAACAAGCATTTGGCTCAGTATGTCTGTTTGGTGAGGACAACAACAGTTCAATCTCAGGTGTATGGGTATGGCGCGGTCAGGAACTTGCCTTCCCACTGAGCCCCGATTGGACAATCGACTATGAGGTCTACGACTGGAAAAAATTGGACCCCAAGTCTGAAGAAACCAAAAAGCTGGTTCAGCAATACTTTTCATGGACCGGTGAAGATAAGGCCGGTAGGAAATTCAACCAAGGAAAAGTATTTAAATAAACTAATCAATTAATTAATAAAACTTTATTGTTTGTCATTTTTTGTTGAATTTTTATTTTCTTTGTAACATCTTTTTAAGTATCTCTTTACATGTGATTTTTTTCAAAGAATTATTCGTTTTTTTTTTTTTCTTTATTCTCACCAATTTTCCTTTCTTGTGTTTTAATTGGGTAGAAATGATAATTAAAATAATGTTGCCTTTTATTGGTTGTTTAACTGTGGGTCTGACTCCAGAGTTCATGATGGACAAGACCGGACAATCTTCAGAATCCATTCTAGGATTGGCCAAAACAGCTTGAGAAATTTTGTTTCAGTTTAGAGAGATTGATTTATAGTCTGTCCGGTGAATGTTTTCCGCTGCGTCATCACACCATTGCCACGAAATTTTAGCCGATTCACTTCTAGAATACAGTATAGTTAGTTGATACAAGAAATGGGCAAATTAACTAATTTTTTTTTAATGAAAGTCCCTTTTCAATTTTCATTTTATTGCAATTAATTCAGCGTCCCAACATTAAAAACCCCTAAATAATGAGGGGGCTGGTAGGCCCAGGTAGGAAATATTCATTGAGCAGAAGGTGATTATTGCACGCAATGGCAGTAACTTTACTCCAAGGATAATACACACTACTACAGGATAGCCTATCCTCATGAGGCCTGTGTAGAACAGATCTGAAGCCTCCCAACACGCCAAATCACCAGTTTTGACGTAGGCAGTATGTCGTTTCGTATCTCGCCTTGACGTAGGCTGTTTGCACCACATGTTATGATTCTGCAGGTTTTTGCTTTATGCATGTTTTACTACATTAATTAACAAAACAACTAAAATAACTATTTTTTAGATCTCGTTCGTATCATCCTATTTGCCTATTACGTTAATCAAAATTAACTAATATTTTTCATCATAAAGGACCCCGGACATTTCTTATGGAAAAGTGATCTATGTGAAATTTTGCTGAATTTTTCATATTGTGTATAGGGAGTCGTCCTTAACAAAAGTTATCATTGCGCTAATGTTTAATATCGAACAGTTTTTAAGATATCAAATAAAAAATTTTTTAATGTAATACTCTTCAGTATGACGTCACCAGTATTTTACTTTTGACTTTGACTATACTCTTCTCCTTTTAACATAAGGGAATAAAAGACAACAAAAGGTACAAATGAAATCGCTATATGACTGACATGACATGAAGTTGACGATTACGGCAGGAAGATGTTTACCCTTGATCACTAATCGCTATCGCTATCTTTTTTTATTTCTTAATGTTAAAAGGAGAAGAGTATAGTCAAAGTCAAAAGTGGGTAGGTATGTAATAATTTTCGGTGCTGTGAGCATACTGGTGACGTCATACTGAAGAGTATTTTATTGAAAAAGTTTTTAATTGATGTCTTAAAAACTGTTCGGTATTAAACATCAGCGCAATGATAACTTTTTAAAGGACGACACCCTCTACACAATATTAAAAATTCAGCAAAATTCCACATAGATCACTTTTCCATAAGAAATGTGCGGGGTCCTTTAAACTCTAAACCACGATCGGTGGCGCAAACAGCTGACGACGAAGGATAATACACACTACTACTACAGGATAGCCTATCCTCATGAGGCCTGTGTAGAACAAATTTGAAGCCCTCCACGACGCTAAATCACCTGTCGTGACGTGGGCAGCATGTCGTTTCTCGCCTTGACGTAGGCTGTTCGCACCACAGGTTATGATTCCACGGGCTTTTACTTTATGCATACCTACTGTGTTTTACTACAATAATTAACATTTTAAAACAAAGTACCGAAAACGAGTCCGATACTCCGATAAGCAATCCTTAGTTGTGTGTATTATCCTTGACTTTACCCCGCACGCACACTATGCAAGTCTACTTCATCGCTCACTGCTCACCGCAGGGCCGCCGCTACCATGTGTGCAGTGTGTTCAAAACACACAGGCGGCCGATTAAAAAAAAAGGGTTGCCGCCGACGATCCTGGTGCAAAAAAAATATCGTGCACACGTGGTAGAAGTGAAACTTATTAAAAACTATCCCCCCTCGTACAACTTTTAGACTAGGCCCGGTACTTTCACCTCAGTATAAATATAATTTATTCGGCGAATAACTATCTATCGGATAAGTAAACCAGCGGTTGCTATCTGTAGTATATCTCCGAGGGGTATTTTCAGGTAAAATTATCCTCGGGCTAACAATCCGTTGCTGGTACCTTCAGTATTTCGGCAATGCTAGTGGTACCAACCAAAGAAAACGAAAAGTGAGAAAAACTTATGGGAAGTTGAATGCTTAAGATAAAGATAGAATATATCTCTTGTCTAGTTGCTTGTTTTTGTCGTGCCGCCGCATTCCACTTGTCATTTGACTGATTTGTGGTGGATTTGAGTTTGACATTCATTTGTTTATGTTTTTTTTGGAGAGAGAAGGTGCGGTTATAAATAATTTTTGTATCGTGTAGTGGGAGTGGCTGATTAATCTTCCATTAGTCGCGCGTGTATCTGAGAGATACATGCCTATTATTTTTGCAAATAAATCAAAAAGGAAAAACCCTATAATATTATGGCTTCTAGTAGTCCTTAGGCACCCTATACTAATTACTTTCTCAAAATTACAAGGTGGTACCTCTACCTGGAAATTTGGAATTTCCAAAAAACTTCAGGTGCGCTCGGCTTTGTACCTGACTGATACAATGCGGCTATTCCAACAAAAAATAAAACTTTTAAACTTCAGAGAAATGTGTTGAGTTTTTTCCCTTTGCTATTCCATCCCCAGTCATGTTTTGAAGGGTATCATCAGCAAGGGGCTTTCAAGAGCAAATATTGAAATTGGAAATACTAAGTACAAAAATGAAATTGTAAATAACCAAAAAAAAAAAAAACACCTATTTAACGAATTTTTCAAACAAACACAAATCTTAGAAAATTAGGTCATCAGAATTCTGTGTTGTCACCTAAATCAGGAGTAAACACACTGCGCGAGGAGCTATTCGGCAGATTAAACCGGTTATTCGTAGGTCTGACCACAGGATACGTTAACTAAGGGTTAGCCCGCATTTATCTGATAGATATCATTATACGGAAGTGAAAATACACTCGTTTTTCTTATCTCCAGGATATTCTCTAATCTGGAGAATAAATATCGCTATCTGCAAGTGAAAGTACCAAGTACCGCGCCTTAGCGTATGAGTCGGGGTAAAAACGAAGGAACACGTAAAAGGGAGACGCGTATCTGTAGTGAAGTCACAAGGGTATCGGCGCTTGAGAATAATAGGCAATCCTCCTTGTTTATAAATCCTTGGTTTGTGTTAAATCGTTCGACGGCCTTCATTGTCATACTCATTAGCTGTTTTTTTCCGTCTCTCTACGTTATATCTTTCTTCTTTCTCGTGTAACGAAATTTCCCAAAACGTGACGTTAAGTGACGCGTCCTTCAAATCACTCTCCATTTTCGACAAAATATACCGCCGCCTAAAGAAAATTCACTTCAAAATAAATCTTAGGTAGCCATCGACTTTTATCGAAAATAAATCTCTCAAACAAATAAACCATCAAGCTTTAATAACGAAAATAAACCGAAAGTACTTCTTCACAAATTTGTATTAGGTACATCCCTACCTAATATCGTTTAATATCATAATACAAGCAAATAAACACTTGAGTTTTCAAATTTTATTCTTTATTGGGATATCAAATGCAAATGTCGGCGACAGACGCACTCAGACATTACAGCGGAACAAACTAATAAGGTTTTTGAAGTGAAACTTCTTAAAGGCGGCGGGCGGTCTGATATGAAAGACGCGTCACGTTTTGGCAAATTTCGTTACACCCAGAGAGAAGAAATATGGAACGTAGTGAGAAAGAGGAAGACAGCCAATGACAATGACAGCCGACGAACCATTGACACAAAGAGGATTGCCTATTATTGTCAAGCGCCGATACCCTTGTGACGTCACTACAGATGCGCGTCTCCCTTTTGTGTGGTCCTTCCTTCATCTTGACCACGAATCTTTGACACAACTCATACGCTAGTATCTTAAAGTCTAAAAACTGTATTCCATTCCAACGCCCTTAATTTGTACTTTAGAGGGAGTGGGGCGGCAAAAATTGTCTGGGCACACAGGCGGCCAACACCCTAGCGGCGGCCCTGGCTGACCGCACAGCACACCATGCGGTCAAGTAACCGCATAATGTGTGGTTGAGTGCTACTTTAAGTACGGTAAAGCGCATTATACCGCAAGCTCGTAGGTAATTTTTTTTTCATCTTGCGTAAGTATTTATCAATGAACTATAACCAAAAGCTGGAATGCGTACACATATTGACGAACGTGAAGCCTAGTGCCGCTGCTGCGGAGGGATACCTGTTTTTGTCGCACTCATTACGTTAAATGGCGGAAATTGCTTCCAACACTTATTCCAATTGATGAAACCTGTGTAGGTAAATATAACAAATAACAAAACTTTCCAAAACGTCATATGTCAGCGAGCAACAGAAAACAACAACATTCCCCCTTGTGGCATCCGTCTTTCATGGCTTCATTTTTTTGGCGGATATGGCAATGTGTGCGCATTCCAGTTTTTGATTATAGTTCATTGGTATTTATATTTACCAAGACATAATCACACTATATAAACTTGCAAATCAAATCAGCCATGTTTAGCGCATCAGAGAAAGCGTAGAATGTGAGTTACTTGTCTTGCACAGTTATTCACTCAAATTCGAAGAAATAGTCCATGGTTCTCTGATGGCCGTTTGCACCCAAGGATGATACACACCTACAGGATTGCTTATCGGCCTCCTTTTTAGTAATCGCCGCCATATTAGTTGTATTCCTTTCAAGAGTTTAAAACACTTGAGCTACTCGCTCCGGTGCTAGTCCGACCCCGATTTGAAAGGAACAGATGCGCTGGCTTTCATGCATTTAAAATGGTTTGAGTTCGGACTTGAGCAACAAACACTTTTTGAAAGGAATAAGCGCATAACGCCCTGGAGTGAAAAGAACACAACTATTGGTGTATCACCATTTCCGACGTCATAACTAAGTCGTCTGCTGTTTAAACAGCCTAGCCTACGTCAAGGCGAGAAATAACATGCTGCCTACGTCAGAACTGGTAATTTTGCATGGCGGGGGGTAACGGGGTATCATATAGTGTGTGTATCATCCTTGGTTTGCACCGACCATTTGTAGAGACATCTAATTTTCTAA